ATATATTCCTTTAGTTATATGAAAGTTATAGCTGAATAATCAACTGATTTGTTATTTCTAAATTATTGTTTGAATACATGGCATGGCCTAAGAAGGACTAACACGTAACATAGTAGCATATAATATTTATTGGGGTGTTTGCAACGTGCTAAGGATCATACTATGTGCTCTTTACGTGGAACGGCTGGCCTAACGCCCTGTGTTAGAGGTTATTGTCACCCTTTATTGAAGAGAGGGAGGCCCAGAGGGACAGGGTGACTTGACCAAAGCTGCACAATTAGCAAATGGCAGAGTTAGGACTTAAATTCAGAGCTTCTTACTCTCTCGTGGCCTGTGCGTTTACACTGCTCTATAATTATTGACAAGATTAAGATAAATGATACATTTGGGAAGAAAGAAAGGAATCCTAAGTAGAGGGGCAGAGGATAAAGGGGACAAGATGAGGAATGAGAAGAATATGGGAGGAAGAATAGCGTTAATAAAACCGTGAAATGTGCTGGCATCCACTCGGGAAGCACCCAGGGCTGCAGAGGAGGAAGTCCTACCCCCAAGCTGCAAGAGCTGCAGAGGATGGAGCAGACTATTTGTGTGCCCTCCCCTGCCTGGCCCCCTGAACATTACTAACCCTGCTCAAAGGAAGAGGAGATGCTGTATTGAGAATCCAGGATGATGTTCGATGGGTGTGTAGCTAAAACTTAAAAATACAATGGGAGAAATGGTGAAAAGGAGTTGGTTGGTCACCTTGTATTTTACGAAGAGTAAGTCTGAATATTCCAAATCACTCTACTGAACTGCCCACTCAGTATTATATTGCAGTATCCATCATTAAAAGTGTTGCAATGGAGATGCGAGACTTAGGACTGCTGAGGTTCATTCATCACGCTGGAAGGAATGGCCTATTAGTGGACAAAATGACAGCTCTCACCAGCTGTGACACTGTACCCAGACATTTATAATAATAGGCAAGTGGCATTGACTCAGCAGCTTGCCCTCTGAGTGAAGCTAGTTCCACACAGTTCACTCAGTTGGGTGGAGAGACCTTTAGACAATGTCTGAAAAAATTCTGCCTATCCTCTCTGGAGAATGAAGATGCTCAGAACCTTTACAAATGCAGGATTTCCCCATTTCCTGAAGTGTGAGATATGAGAGACCCAAAGAATTTTCCGACACAATCTTAGAGTCGGTGTCCTCCTCTAGCTGGCTCCCCCTCCTTTATCCTCAGCCTCACACATGCCAGTCCAGCCTTCTGCAGAACTACAGCAGTCCCCTTTGGTGCTCGGTTTTACCATCTGTGCATTGCATTACCTGTGGTGAACCTAGATCCAAAAATACTAGTGAAAAATTCCAGAAGAAAAAAATCACAAATTTTACATTGTCCACTGATCTGAATAGCATGCTAAAATCTTGCACTGCCCTGCTCTGTCTGACCTGGGATGTGAACCAAGCCTTTGTTCAGCACATCCACACTTTATATGAGAACCTTCCCTGCCCCTTGGTCACTTAGTAGACATCCCAGTTATCACCCATCACACTAATGCAGTGCTCATGTTCAAGTAACCCTTATTCCATTTAATAATGTCCCAAAGCACAACGGTAGTGATGCTGAAAACTTGAACATGTCAGAGAGAAGCTGGAAAGAGCTTCCTTTATGGGAAAGGTGAGTACGGCACAATAAAATATTGAAAGGGAGAGAGAGAAAATGTGAAAGCAATAGTCACATAAATTTTAGTTCATTGTGAACTATTTTGTTAATCTCTTATTATGACTAACGTGTAAGTTAATCTTTATCTCAGGTATGTATGTAACAGGAAAGCACAGTATATAGAAGGTTGGGTACGACCTGTGGTCCGGGCATCCCCTGGGGGTCCTGGAAAGCATCTCTGCAGACAGCAGGGGGCTACCCTGCTTCTTTACTCAGCTGTTCAGTGCCCTATGTTTTAGTTGTCTATAGCAGTGTCTTTCTTCACCTTTCTCATAACTTCTTCATCTTAACACTTACACTCTTTTATCTTTTGTTTATAACACTACTCTTTTATTTAAAAAATAGTTCACTTTCACAGCTTTATTAATTTATAGCAAACAAAAAATCCATCTTTATAAACTTATATTTCTAAAAGATTATCAGCTAAAATTGTATCGATTTGAAGAAGTCTTTGTTCTAGTCATAATCTCAAAATCAGTGCAATTTACATCTCTTGAGCACACACAGTGTAGCAGACATTGTCCTAAGCACCAGCAAAAAAAAGTCCTGTCCCTGAAGAAGGGCGACAGACAACTATAAACAGGTGTTAAGTGTTATAACCACATTACAGCAAGTGTTCTAGAAACAAATTCTCTTTGTGAACTCAGAAAGGTAGCTTTGACTAGGGACTTGTAGCCTTATATTATGTCTTAAAGGCATAGGGCCACTATATCTGGTTTTCAGAGTTCATCTTCGAAATGAGTGTACAGCTTGAATTTGGGGGAGATGCTTAAAAGGTAAGTGCTATATAGTTAAAACTAGAAGGCTATAACTATAAGAGTTTGAGAAACTAGAGAAGTGAGATCAATATGAACATAAGCTAATTTTAGTCATGACCCAGGGTCTTCACGCACCAATTTCTTTCACTTTTTCCTCTGGAAGTTCATCCAAGATTTCATCAGCACGTCCTTTACTCTCATCTCAGACATTGTCAGTATCGCTGACCCTCCTTCCCCTCTTCCTGACTTTTAAATGGCATCGCTTCCATACAGGCTGACATTCTAGTTACGACGACAGCCCTCCCTGGGGCAGCCGCCTCCGCCCTTCCATCACTGCCTCCTTCTTTAATTCCCACTGCATTTGTTTATTTCCCCGCACACAATGCATGGCGTGGTCATTTTACTTATATTTCATTATTATTGTCTAGTTATATAAAATTTTTAAGTTGATTTGAGAGAGAGAGAGGAACATCAGTTTGTTGTTGCATTTATTTAGGCCTTCGTTGGTTGGCTGTCATATGCGGCCTCAGCAGAAACTGAACCGCAACCTTGGCGAATACGGATGACACTCTAACGAACTAACCTACCTGGCCAGGGCCTAAAATTTCTATTTTTTAAAATTAATGCATGCCTTCTTTATAATTTCACTGTAATTTACCAATATGTACATATTTTATCCTCAAATTTTCTGGATGATTATTAAGGCAATAAAAATGTAGAGGTTTAATTCTTTCTTATAAATTCTCAATTTTCTTCCCTGAAATTTCCCATTACATTACACAAATATTTCTTCAGGATGATTGCAGGGTTATACACAGAGCTGTCTTCCAGAACTCAGCATACGTTTGAGTCCGGTTAGAGGCATCAGGGCTGGAATACAAGGCAAGGAACAATTCCTTTTGGCCCTCCCCAACCTCAAATGTCTCCTGGCCAGGATTCAGAGGGTGTGTGGCCAACCCACACCTAAAACACCCTGCTCACCGGACTGGCGCCCTCTGGTGGCAGCAGGATACCTGGAGTAGGGTGGCTGCTGTACAGAGCCTCAGTACCGTCTCATCGCCTGGAGACCTGAGTACCTGCGGGTTCCTACGTTGTTAATGTTATATAGAAAGGGTCCTTCCTTTTGCTGTCTCCTTTTCACGCCTTATTTTTTAACACCTTGCACACAGTGCTGACTTAGGCCTTTACAGAGGAACATACAGGGAGTCTATAGAAGAAGCTCAAGGATGATGATGGTGTTGGCATAACAACTTGTGCCGTGAGGTTTGACTTAGTCACAACAGAATGTCAGTGGTCCCCAACAGAGGACTGTGATGACCCACTTGTTGTTTCTCATAGCAGGAAAAACATGAGCATAAATGTATAGTGAGAGCTTTTGCTTCACTGGAAGAAAATCTGCATTAATATTACACTTGTAAATGGGATCTAAGATCAATTGTGAAACATTCATTGTAAGTTGTTAACACTAGAGTGAATCAAACAGCACCTTTTAAAGATGATGTTAATTTTATTCTGTCTAAAGTTAGAGATGGACAACGATGACCACTCAAATTACTCTCTCCACACCAAACTCTGAGTCCTGTGTATGAGTTCAAGCATTTCTAAAAAGAAGTCAATGTAACATGCATTTTCTATGAATCTCTCAGCTGCTGTGGCAATACTTCACCTCCTGCTGGCCTGTGGTCTGACAAGTTCACAGACTCTCTAAACATCTGTCTTACTTCTGTCAATCCAGTTCGAAACCTTGCCTTTGGTATACCACCTGAATGTAATTTCTTAGAAAAACAGATAATGTGGTTAGCAGCTTACTGGTGACTTCTAGAATTACCAATAACATCTAATTGATAAACAAAATTAAAAAGTCTCTCATTCAAGCCTTGGAATAAACCACGAAGTAACACAATGTCTGCAATGTACAAATACTATGTGGCAAGAGTAAAGGTAGACATCAAGGGTAGAATTATTTTATATGTTCAAATGTAAAACAAATTAGGAAAAAACCCTAGATCCATTAAATTGAAGTGTAATAACTGTTCTCTCTGTTTCTACTCTTGCTTCTCTAACGTCAATTCTCCTTGATCCAGTGTAAGTAATCTCTGAAAAACATAGGCCAGACTGTGTCAATCTCCTGTTCTCAGGCACCTTACTTTGTATCAAGGTTTTTACCATGGCCTCCAGGTCCAACATGAGGCAGCCATGGGTATCCCCTCAATAGCATTTCCTGCCAGTCTCCCCATAACTCGCTCATGTTTAGAAGCAATGATGTGTCTGTTAAAGGAACCGGGCAGGTACACATTGGTTCTTGTGCTTAGTCTTTCACTCCAAAGGCTCTTCAGGCTTTCCATAATGAAGTGACAAATGCTAACACTGGCACAATGGACCCATGTGATGACTGCCAAGAGACAGAATCCAGTTGATGGAAACAAATCATAAATATACCTAACTCTCTGAAGAAGTGTTTTTTGCAGACATCCCAGCAATTAGGGCAGGAATTACTCTGCTGATGATATTCCACCAGATAACAACCACTAAAGACTTACCTGCAGCGACTATGACGATATCTGCCAGCTGAGTATGGATCTTCAGTTGTTCTTTAGGGGTGTATCTGTGAGCTATCGTCACAGTGGCATCACCTGGAATGCAGAAGAACTTCTGTTAGTGATTGTTGATTTTTTCATAATTCATTAATACTCTAGTTCTAGAGGAGTTCTTCCTAAGCATAGGAAAATTGCTTTGAAATTATTAAATCACTTTTAAAACAAAAGCAAGATAAGAAAATGTAGATGGCCCATAGTATTGTGCCCTTTAATTACCAGTGGAAAATCAAATGAGACCAAATGAGGGTATGTGCTGATTATTATTGGAAAGCTATAAATATTGGGTTGGTCAAAAAGTTTATTTGTTTTTTCCATAAGATGGCCCTCACAGCACTTCATTCAAAACAATTTTGTTTGGTTGTATTGTGACAGCTGTCATATAAGCATAAATTTTAAAAAATCTTATGAGCCTGGCTGGTGTAGTTCAGTGGATTGAGCACAGGCCGTGAACCAAAGGGTCACGGTTCGATTCCCAGTCAGGGCACATGCCTGGGTTGCAGGCCCGGTCCCCAGTGGGGGCCATGTGAGAGGCAACCACACATTGATATTTCTCCCCCTCTCTTTCTCCTTCCCTTCCCCTCTTTCTAAAAATAAATAAATAAATAAAATATTAAAATTTTCTAAAAACTTAAGAAAATTGCTGAATTTTTGTGTAGCCAGTTTAATATTGAAAATGGATGAAAATATACAACATCTTCAGCATATTATGCTTTAATATTTCAAGAAAGGTACAAACAAAACAAAATGCAAAAGAAAAGGATTTTTGCAGTCTATGGAGAAGGCGCTGTGACTGATCAAACGTGTCAAAAGTGGTTTTTGAAGTTTCCATGCTGGACATTTCCTGCTGGACAATACTCCACAGTTGGGTAGACTAGTTGAAGTTGACAGTGATCAAACTGAGATATTAACAGGGACAGTAACTAAGGGGGTGGAAATGGGAGGGAGGTGCAGAGCACGGGCAGGGTGGGCTGGGATGGGAGAAATAGAAAACTGTACTTGAACAATAATTAAATTTTAAAAAAGGGAAAAAAAAGAACAATCAACTTTATACCACATGGAACAGAGCCAACATATTCATAATATCCAAATCAATAAAGTTAATGGTGAAAATGAAAAATGTGTTTTTTATTTTACAGAAAAAAACTAAATGGACTTTTTGGCCAACCCAATAGCATCCTAAAACCTAGCATTTGAGAGGTCTGTACTGACAAGTTAATACACAGATGTGGGAGTCACTCATTGGCTTAATAATACGATATGTAAATACTGAAAACAGTCAGATAAGTACACTAGAAATGGGGTAATGGATTGTGGCTGGACAGGTTAGAAATGAACTCTACCCCATCTGGGCAGGTGCCTCATCTTGAAGTGTCAAAAAGGGTTCCTAGAGGAGGCAACATACTCTTTTACATTTTAAAGTGTGAGTGAAAGTCCACCAGTCAAGGACCAACTTTGCAATTATGTGTTTAGGAAATGATGAAGAAGCCTAGGCTTTAACAGGAAGTATCTATACATGCTTCAATAAAGTGATGTGTGAATAAGAAGGGTTATCAGACTGAGGGAATACAGAGATTAAAGTGAGAGCCAAGGAAGAGGAGTGAGAGAAAGGCAATAATAGGTGCAGTCAAATGAAGGACTTCCGGTATGAACATGGCGGTGTGAGACAGCATTTTCTCTCTTCCCTTCCTGAATAACGTACATCATCAAAAACTACACCATCTCTATGTTTAGCAAAAGTAGAGGACATATTTACCACAGACTCTAAAAACATGTAAGATTTACTGAGGAGCAGCAGAGTTAGAACATACCGTACAGAGAGAAAGGCAGCAAAGAAATGCAGAAAAAACCAAGATGTCCAGCAGCAACAGAGCTCTGAAAATGACTGCAAAAAATATACTCCCCGAAGGTGAAGGGCCCACATCAAAATGCAACATTTGTAGCAGATAAAAGAGAAAGAAGCACTAAGGAAGCACAGGGGAGCCATTTCAACAGGAAGGAAGTCATTTGACTGTGAAGTTTGTGAAGGAGGAATCCAAAAGCTGTCCAGTACCTCCTCCACAACCCTAACAGAAGAATCCTGCAAAAAGCAGATCCAAGAAATCCAAGTAAGTGTTTTTTTAAAAGCATTTGTCAAAGCACTGAAAGAATACTATATGAGGATCAGCTCAGGGGAATTTGGGTGCTGATAGAACTGTTCAGATTCTATTGTAGTTACATGGCTATAAGCATTTGTTTAAATTCATGGATATATACCAAAAAGAGGGAATTTGCATGCAATTCTCTTAAGTTAAAAAAAAAACATACATTTAAAAAGTGGCAGATTCAAGAAAAAAGCAAAAAATATATAAGGAATTTACCAACATACCAATAAGCTCAACAGCACAAAATTGTTATGAAAATGTCGAACATTATGCCAAAAATTTTAAATAAGTTAAAGTAAAAAAACTAGGGAAAAAGACGAATTCATACAAATTGATTTATAATGGTCAGTACTGAAACACATTCAGTAAGACAGATGATTTAAAGATTGAAAAAAGAATCCTCTGAGCCACCAAGCAAAAATTCAAAATTTTACATTTAACTGTGGAAAACAGCAGGGCATTGCGTACAAGAGACCCATGTAAAGAAATGAGAAGCTAGGAATTTTATATTCATTCAAGTTTTCCTTCAAGATTAGAGGAGGCAAACAATTTTGGAATTGTAAGAGCTCTGGGAATATTGTTCATATGAGTTTTTCCTGTGGCACGTGCTAAAAATAAAAATTGAGATGACTTTCAATCATTATTAAAACATGTTTTGAGTTATTCCACTCCCCTTAACTTGTCATTACTCCTCAGTAAGTCTGGCTGGAGAGAAGCCTGGGAAATAATCAAAGTCATATTTGTACTTGACTCATCAGTTTCTGACCTTGGTGATATCAAACCACTGAAATGTTTTCAGTCAGTCAGATGATGATAGCAAAGAAGAGGTGAACCAAGAGGCTTAAAGGCAAATGTTTTCCAAAAATGCCTTTGCCCCCCGACATCTGTTCCTTGTCCTGAGTTCTGTCTTGTGTTAAAATAAAAAACAAAAAGACTAGCCTTGAAGCTTCCCTGAGCAGACAAAACCAGTTTAGCCATACCAGCCAAGCTTAATTTACCTTCTTTGAAAAAGCTAATTTGACCTGGGTCATTTCTTGCTTATGCCTCTGAAAATCATAAGCAAAATTTGAATTGTTTTCCATGGTTGATAATGAGGTGAACATTGACCAATTCCCTATCATTTAAGAAAATTCTAATATTATAACCAATGACTGTGAGGGACAAAATGTCCCTGCTTTCTCATTAATATAAGCTGCTTTATAACAATATGCCCCTGAGCCTCATTCCATGTTTTGGTTCAAGGGCTCCCAGCTTGGAACTATTTTCTTGGTGTGTTTACTATAAACTTTTATGGATTCCTACTTCAGTGACTGATTGGCTTCACTTCTGTTATGTCTGAACTTTTGACACTTGCTAACTATATTCTTATTAAGCCTGTCTTACCTGACATTGTGAAAACCCTTGTCATTCCTATTTCCAGTTCTGGTGTCCCACTACCTCAGGGAGTCCTCTGGCTTGCTACACCTAATTCTTTCTGTCTCCTCAGTTTTTCCCTGGGATGGTCAATACTGACAAGTTGCAGTAGGTACTTCACAGAGTGGTGTGCACCTCTGACCCTCAGGTGACTTTTCCCACACTCAGTTTTACATTCTCATTGCTGACATGACAACAGCTCTGGCAAGGACCTAACTTTTCAGCTATTACAGGGACTCAGTAAAAAAGTATAAGCAGTCATAAACAACTTCATTGTGCCCAGTACTTCACATCATCGGTGTGAAGGTACAGCAAGAATAAGACACTTAGACTCTATCTCCTAGAATCTCAGAGTTCTGTTAGAACTTAATAATGAATTGCCGGGCAAGATATGCTGCTTACTATACAAAAGTTTAGGCCATCAAGTATTGTCTGCCGGAAGCCACCTGAGCAGTTTCTATGCTATCATGACTTCTGTAACTTACACAAAGTTGCAGGTTTTAACAAAGAGTTCTTGGCAAATAACAGAGTACCAATCTGAGGAAAATACCTGCTATTTAGAAAACTAGAACAAATGATACGATATGCTTCATTTTAGAGTATCTTTTTTGGTTAATATTACCTAAATGAGTTTACCTCTGTTGGGTGCTTCCAGGCCTTCATTTACTCAATAATCAAGAAATAATCCCAGAGCCATGCTAAGCAATGGAGCTTCATCATTCTCTAGTCCCATGTGAAAAGCAGATACGTAAATAAGAATTATAATATGGTGTGACAAGTTTCATGCTAAAAGAAGGTTACAGATGGCCATCATGTACTCTGGCTGAGTAGGAACAGTTAAAGGTCTTAGAGAAGACAGACTTTGATGTGAGTAGGAATTTGTTTTGCTTCTATTTCAATCCCCTATGCTTTTCCCATCCTTTCCCACTGATAAATTATTTTCCATAAAACATGAGACAGGCATATACTTTAGCCCAGACTGCTAGAAACTCCTTCCTTATAAATACTGAGGTCTACCATTTTGAAACTTTTACCACGATCATCGATCTATCTTCAACTGAAACATAGAACAAGTCTCAATTTCCTTTTCCATAAGGCAAATTTTCAAATACCTGCTTGTATCCGTATCAGCAGATAAAGCAAAATGGCAATCCCTCCTTTTGGAGGTGGAATCTCACATACAGGGTTTGCCTTTTTCACTTCCTCTTCATAAGGAAGAACTGAGTCATTCTCACCACGGTAACTATTGCCACAGTCTGGTTTAAAAGAAAAAAAATCACTGAGAACATTCCAGGAAGGAAAACTCAGTACCTACCAACACCCAACACATGTTAAAATAATGCTGCAGTCCCTCTAATAATTCAGTCTCTCTGAATTCCATTTACTTTATGTTTCGTATTCCAGCTTCAGCTGCTTTTTCTGGACTAAATTGTCTAAATTATTTTATATATTGTTACAGAGCACTCAGAGGTAAGCCTTCTG